ATTTATCATATAAAGTTAATAACCTTCTTTAGCTGCTAATTAATATGAATTTGCTCTATTAAATACTTATTATAGTAGTATTATTTTTGAAAATAATGAAATTAATATATGTAAAAGATTTTTATCTTTTAGATGTGATGATTTGCCACATTTTTAGAGGAAATTTGATGTTCTTAATAAAGAGAATTGTTATTTTTTTCAATTAACATACATGCTGAATGGTATATAAAACTAGGAAACTAGCCAAAAGTCAGTTCTTTATATTATAAATTTTTTAATGTCACCCAGAATCGCCTAGGTGCCTTGAAAACTATGGTCCTGACTCAAAATAAGTGCTTATTCGAATAAGCACTTATTTTTAAGCACTCCCAAACTTGGCCTAAGTGGCATTCTCTTATCACACAAAAGTCTAGATGCACCCCTCCACAGCTCCACTTTTCCCAACCTCCTCTAATTCTTTAGGTGACGTCCTCCTCAATCTCTCCCTTGCCATGAATTATTGAACCAAGGTACCGGAAATTCACATTAAGTTCTTGGCTTGCAATCCCAAGTGTATCTTGATTTACAGTCTTGTTACTACTAAATTTACATGTCATATAGTCTATCTTAGTCCTACTTATTTTAAAACCTCTTGTTTCTAGGGAATTTTTTCATAAGCTTAATTTTGATGTAATCCTTCATTAGTTTCATCAATTAAAACAATGTCATCCGTAAACAATATGCACCATGGAACTTCTTGAACATGTTTAGCCAATTCATCTATGATCAGTGCAAGATAGAAAAGGGCTAAGTGTTGAACCTTGGTGAAGACCAATTATAACTGTAAAATCTGAAGTCACTCCCATTGGTGTTCTAATATTGGTTGTTGCCCCCTCATACATATCCTTAATTACGTCTATATACCTATTTTGAACCCCTTTCTTTTCCAATACCCACCATATTATCTCTCTAGGAACTCTATCCTAAGCCTTTTGTAGATCAATGAACACCATATGAAGATCTTTCTTCTTCTCTCTAAACTTTTCTATAAATCATTTCAAAAGAAATATAGCTTCCATTGTTAATCTCCCCAGCATAAATCCAAATTGGTTCTCTAACACACTCGTTTCAAGTTGTAATCTTTGTTCAATTATTCTCTTCCAAAGTTCATAGTGGGGACCACAGCACTATGTTGGGACCCTTTGGAGTGATGTTTTTAAGTTTTTTATGCGGTTTTATGCATTAGCCACCCTAAAAGGGCATATTAGTCATTGTACTCTATTTTTAATTAAAGTATAAATACAAATGGAGAGCTGATTTGCCCTCTCTTTCTTTCTCAACTTCTTCTCTTCTCTTTCTCTTCTTCCATAAGAAACTCTTCTTTTGTTTGCAGATTTTTTATTCAACAGATTTCTACTCTCCCATACCTTTCTACACTTCCATTGGAATCCCATCAGGTCCTAACGCCTTTACCTTCATCTTATTTAGTGTCTCTTTTCCTTCAATAGGTCTAACTCTACAAAAGTACGTATTAATATTATTTTTAACACTATTAACCTTTCTAGCTTCTCCTCTCTTAGCACCCTTTCCTCATCTTTGTTTGATTTCTTCATCTTTTACCAAGACTCTTTGATCTTCATCTTTAATGCACCTAACATGGTTTAAATCTATCTTTCCTTTATCTCAGCTTTGTTGGTATATACATTCCTTTTTCTCCCTCTTTAATGCCTAATTTATAGTAAAGCTCACCATAAGCCCTATTTTAGCTTCACTCACTTTCTTTTTTAATTTCCTTTCTTATGGTTTTAAATTTTCCCAATTTTCTGCATTCTTAGCCTTTTGTCATTCTTTGTACATGCTCGTTTTAATCTCTGATTATATTTTGAACTTCTTCATTCCACCACCAAGTTTCTTTAGTACTTTTCCATTTCCCTTCAAATTCTCCTAAGACCTCCTTTGCTACTTTCTTTATGTTGTTTGCTATTTCAAGCCAGATATCATTAATCATTCCATCAAAATTCCAATTCCATTCTATTATCAACTTGTTTCTAAATTGAGCTAGCTTTTCTCCTTTTAGGTTTTTCCATTTAATTCTAGGACACCTATTTCCTTCCCTATTTCTCTTCGATTTGCTACTACGCACATTTACCACCACTAATTTATGTTGTGTTGCTAAACTTTCTCCCTAAATAACTTTGCAATCTTTACACATCATACATTCTATTTTCCTAATAAGGAAAAAAACCTATTTATGTTTGATCCACTTTTAAATGTTATTAAGTGTTCATCTTTCTTTTGGAAAAATGTGTTTAAATTTGTCATATCACAAGCTACTGAAAAATCTAATATTGTACCTCCTAATTCATTCCTCCCCCCAAATCCAAATCCTCCATGTACCATATTATATCCTACACTTTTTCCTACATATCCATTTAAGTCTCCTCTTATAAAAATCTTCTCTTCATTATCCTTTCAAGTTTTTCCAAAATTGTCTTGTAATGTTTATTCTAAACCCATTGAGGTGTATAAGCACTAATTATGTTAATGATTTCCTCCCCTAAAACAAGTCTAATTAAAATTATTTTATCCCTAATTCTTTTAACATTTACTATTTCATTTTTTAAATCTTTATCTACTATTATTGCTACACCGTTTCTATTATTCACCTCTCGTGTATATCATAATTTATAGCCATCAATTTCTTTAGCTTTTTTACTCTTCCATTTAGTTTCTTGTAAGCATGCAATATAAACCCTTCTCTTCATAGTGTCTACTATTCCATAGTTTTTCCTGTCAATGTCCCTACATTCCAAGTGGCTAAACGAAGTCATGTTTCTTGGATTAGCTTCTTTATCCACCCCCGTCCAGAATGATGTGGGAACCCTTATCTATTTGACACCACAACTGGGCATTATCGTGGTAGGTCACTTATGTGAACCATTCTAGCAAACCCTTGCCCACTTAAAAGTTAAAGCTAAGCGTGGGTTAGGGTGCAATGCGTTGTTTCTAGAGAATACCTAGCATGAGCACAAAAAGACAAATCAGGATTCATATTCACGAGGGTTTGGCAAAAGCTTTCGAGCCGGCACCAACCTGACGCAACCCTCCTTTATCTAGGCTTGGGACTGATAGTGTAAGACAAGCTCACACTGGTAAAGTTTACAAAAACTTGATTCATGAAAATAAATATATAATAATACATAAAGCAAATTTGGCAATGTTCTCATTGTTTTGAAAACCAGGATTTCCATATATCAACAATTACACTGGTACAAGACAACAAATGATATGATAAGAAACATTATACTAACCCGGAAACAAGAGCAGTCATGCTGTCAATGATGAGCAATTTCACTTGATGTTGGAGAAGTGACAACTTGATTTGTTCTAAGCTGGTATAGATTATGTAGCATATGAAAACAGTAAATAACAAATATTGACTATGTGAACTGAGTTAAGAATTCTTAGAGATGCTCTTGTAGGTATTGAATTATCCAAATGCTAAAACAAAGTTACAAACAATCATATTAGAAGTTTCTAGACATCAAAATATATCTTTAACTCAGCATGATAAAAAGCACTTAAAACTAATAGTAAATACAGAATTAACAAGTTTTAGAATAAATGGCCACATGGCTTGTAATACGCTGTACAATTATCCGCTTAACCAACTGGACTGAACAAAGCCGGATCATAACTATATGGCCGTTACGCAAATCCTATTTTGCCATTCCACTCAATCAAGGACCATATCTACTATTAAAACATGAGCCCTTAAATATTTCTCACTAGCTCATATTGAAATGCCAAGACTTGTTGCAGCGGATTCTAGCAAGATGTTATCCTACTAAATAAAAGTTAAAAGAAGCCAAGAGATTTCTTGAACCAATCTATTAAGGTGTCTTAGCTCAAAAAATCCACAAGGAGAAAAGTATTGGAAAGAAAATGTGCTTTAAGTAGCATATCATTAGACAATCAAGAAAAAATGTAACCCCAAAAATGAGCATAGAGATGAAAATGTGGAAATGAAGTGGTACCAACAGGTGCAAGATAACAAAAAGTTGATTGAAATAAAAATGTACACCAAAATGAAAGCAAAGAACACCAAGGAGTGATTTTTTTATCAGCAACAATCAAAAGGATTTTTTCATTTACTTTAAAAAATGGATTACAATGCTTGTACCGAGCACCCCGATGTAGTTCTTACAAAGAACTCCCTAATAGGTCACTCCCCAATAATCACCAAGAGGACAGAGAAAGGCCAGAATGAACAGGATTCTTGTTAGTTGTTATCAACAGTACTTATGTAAGGCGGATGATCATGAATTAAGTTTTACCATCACCATAGCTTCAATGTCAGAATGTGGTTTCACAAATAAACCAACTATGCTGTCCAATATTGTCAAAATTCAGAAAAATGCAGTGCCCTTGTTACATAGGTTTTGGTCCATGCAAAGGAATTCATACTTCTCAGTGAATTCAGGCAATGATGCTGGCCGCAAAACAAGGATCCTACCAGCCATCTGCAAAATAATGAAGCAGACTTCCTAAAGCCCTCAAGTTTTCTTTAGTAAATCAGAATTGAAAAATATTAACACGGATTCTATAAACCTCTTGAGCCATTCCATCCAGATGAAATATCTCTGGGAAACTTGTTGCTCCAATCTCTATCATCCTGTTCAAAGCAGAATTAACAGTAACTGACTGGCATGCTTTAATACATCCTAGGGACAAAAATTATTCCAAAAGCACAAGAAAATGGATATCAATGTCATTCTCTTTAGTACCTTCTTGAACTAAACTTGGATTCGGTGTCAATATATATTACACGACCATTTAAACCTCCATAATTTGCAGGAAGTGCAGCCAACAGTGAAAGCTTTAGGCAAAACTACAGAGTGATTGGAGAAATCATTCCCAAAAAGTGTACCCAATAAAAATGTGCAAATATATATATATATATATATATATATAGTATTAATCACTGCCTGACACCCCCATAGGGGTCGATATTCTTTTGAGTGAACAGTACAATATCACATCAACAGCTCTTTTCTTACAGAGATGATAATAGCGAGATTCGAAATCACACCACCGCTGGGAAAATTCATCCAGCGCACCAACTGGGCTACCCCTCAGTTAAAATGTATATAGGTATTCTAAGGGAAAATTTGGCTGCAGGGATGATAGGCATCATTCATTTCCCTCACTAAATTCATCTTGCATAGAAAAAAAAAAAATCCAGGGATTACATCTTACAAGTGGGCAAAAGGCTCTATTTTTCTGCCTTCACATCCCACTACCTTAATTCTGGCAAGTCAAACCATTTGTTTCTTCAAGAAGGAAAGCATTTATCTTGCAGATAACCACACCTTATGAGGACTCTATGATACCCAGATACCTCAAAAAGGTGATGTATTATGCATTCATGCTGGATACTTCAATTTTTAGTGTAAAATTCATATCTGAAACCATGTCCTTGATATATCGGGGTAACAAAGTGAGAAAAAAAAAAAAAAAGGAAAATAAGCAAGTAAAAACATAGTTGGAAAATAAACCTAAGTTAACTTCAGTTTGAACTTTTTAGTAACTTTTAGATAGAGGCTCAGTTTAGGCATATTTAAGGTAACACAATTATTTAATAAATGAGTTCTTTTTAGGATCAGCAGACTTCTACCAATATGGCTCACCCCATTGAAATGACCAGTATAAGGAGTTTACTGGGCAAACAATTCAATTTACCAATTACCTGAAGCTTGAAATTACTATTTCTTTCAGTAGAAAAATTTTTATGTTGACCTTATAAAAAGTACTAAAAGTTCCTGCCCCTTCACAGAATTGTTTATGGAAAGGTAGGTTGGGGCCTAAGTCTACTTTCCTAGAATCTTATAATAAGAAACAAGGAAGCATTATTACATATTTTTTGAATCTTAAAGAAAATTCTCCATTTATGAATAAATTGGAAATGCAATATCTAACACACTAATATAATTTTAAGCGTTACAGGACCCTTTTGCTAGGATGTGGTTATATTCTAAAATTCCAATCTTCTTCCATCATCGTCAAATGATAATTCCTAATGGATTTTTACAAATAATAAAACCACATAATTGCCGTCCTGTTTTCCTAGCATTTTGATAGAATTTTTTTGGCCCAACATAGTAACAAAGACAACCTATCAAAAAAAAAACATAGTAACAAAGACACTTTTCCCTTCTATGCCATAAGGCTCTCCTTCTAAAAAAGAGGAGAATCCATTTCAAAGCTTCAAGTCAAGTGATTTAGAGCCCATTTGGGAGGGCTGAGCCTGAGCTGAATATTCAGGTAAGCTGGTTCAGCTGCTTTGAAGTACTCCAGATAAGCTATTTAAAGAGGCTGAAGCCAACAGTCTCTCAAATGACTAACTGACAACCAATCTCTGGATTTTTCATCAAATATAGCTTATAGGCTGTCCATGTGGGGCCCACCTAGGAAATCCAAAAGCCGCATTAAGCTTCAGCCTTCCCAAACGGCATCTGTCCTGTTGCTTCTATTGGTTATCTGGGAACAAATCCATGACCTCAGTATCTGTCTTCAGAGCAAAATGTTCCCAAAACTGAAACAGGTCAAGGATGGACTTAAGTCTTAACCAAAACTCAATAGATGTGTGTATACACCACTAAAATGAATATTTAGTAGGTCTCTACTTACCATGCATCTCCCCCCCACCTACTTACCCTTTCCGCCACCTACTTTCTTTTCTTTATTCTTTCCTTTTGTAGAAATTAATACAATATCCCAGCTCAACCATGTGAGATGCATGGAATGTAGAAACGTGCATTAGTTATATACCATCTTAGTATTCCCATTTGGCTATGCAGGTCTCAGTGTTCCACATTTCCTAACTTCTTAAGTTGTAAGAGTACTGTGAAATGTTATTCAACCATTCTAACACTTCTCATCTGTTTCTTACAGCATAACATCAATTTGTTCACAACTTTATATGCATTTTTTTTTTTGATAAATAACTTTATATGCATTGTTTTTTTAGGGAGAATGACCGTTCAGCCCAGGGTCAGAATTTTTAGGCCCTAAGTACAGTTGGGTGGGTGCCAGCTCGAAATTGATGCCAATTCACGGGTGGTTGGTGTGTAGAGTGGGGGTTTTTGACCTTTTAAATGTTTATAGCTCTGCAGTGGAAATCAGAAATCAGCATTGGGCCTGTCCGTACTTATCCGTATTTTTTATAAATAACTTTATATGCCTTGTTTTTTTCTTCACTATCCTTCACTATCTTCTTCTATCAAAAAATAAATAAATAAAATAAAATACTTCAAGATCTTCGGAACAGGGTTCTTTTAGTTGACAATCCACCTTAACCAACTAAGACTTCCAACCACTCTTGCTCCTCAATTCAATTCACTAATTCAAATGGAAGAATGAAATGTCATTAAGCCAGGGCAGTTGTAGTAATTATGTGTGTTTGCGTGTTTAGTATTTTAATTGGCTTGAGTTGGCATAGATCCATTTCCATTTGGATATTTGATTATTACTTTAATCTGATTATTTGTCCTGTCTTGTTCTTTTCAGATCTGTATGACATAACTATTCTTTTCTTTTATTATATTTTTTACTAACTTAGCATTGTCATTCTTTGATTGTAGATTATCTTCTTGGGATTAATATAACCTTAACATGTTGAGTCTTTTTTTCCAAAGCAATTTGAAGCACTCTCTATCTGACAGCTTTATTTATCCTGTGTATTTATTTATTTTATGAACTTTTCTATGACATTCAGGTCTGTTCTTCATTTCACACTAATTAATTCTTTTAATTTACCAAGTAAATAAATAAAAGTTTATGTTCTTAATTTTGCAATTTTTATTTTTATATTCTTTGTCTAATGTTGAGTTTACAAATTTGTGCCATTTCCCTGGAACTACATTTCTGATTTCTGAATGTTGTTTATTTTCTTTAACATATTTATTAGTTCAAATACCTGTTCTTCAGTTTCAAATGTAAATGATTTTTTTTCTTTTATTTTGATCAGAGGGGAGAAGTAAATAAGTTGAAGAGTATATAATTGTCCAAACAACGTAACAAAACAAATATTCTAGAAACCAATTCAAATACTATAGCATAACTAGACTTCCCATGGTAGGATTCCTAAATTAAACAAAACTAAATGCTATTTGGATTGACTTTCTAGAGTACTTTCGTACTTTTGAAAGTACAAAAAGTAGCATTTCAAATTTGTTTGTACTTTTAAAAAGCACAAAGGAAAAGTACAAACAGCCAAAAGCACAGAGTTGGCTGTTTATACTTTGTGCTTTTGGGCCCTTAACATATTTTTGTACTTTCTAAAACATGTGCACCAACTATACATGTGGTATTTACCATGTGACAGGTAGCAGCATATATGAATGTCAAATGGAATTTAAGGTACATCAATGTATTCAACGAGTCAATGACACACTGTGTGGCATGTGTCAGCATGTATGGATGACACATGGCATTTGAATGTATCCAATGACACATATGTGCCATTATCAGCATATTTAGATGCCAATGACACATGTGTGGCAACATATATGGATAATATATGGCATTTGGATGCATTTCTTGACATTGTATGACATGTGGCAGTGTATATGGATGTCACAAGGCACCAATGACATGCATGTGCCACATGGCAACATATGCTGATGACATGTGGCATTTGAATGTATTCAATAACATATGTGTGCCACATGGCTTTTGGTGTACATGATTTGGCAGCATATATGGATGCCACAAGGCATTCACACATGTGCTACATCTCGTTGTATCTAAACGCATGTTTTACTTGAAAGACATGCTTTAAAAGCCTATTTTGCCAAACATGTTTCAACAAAAAAAAAAAAAAAAAAAACAGAAAGTAAAAACACAATGTCTGCTTTCTACTTTTGTACTTTCAACAGTACAAAAGCATAAATATATCGAGTTACATGTCGTAGCCACTGAAATGAGTAGGATTTGCATTACCTGCGTTTTGCCAATGCCAGCTGGGCCAACCAACTCCGTCACAGCACCGAAAGGTACTCCTCCGAGTAAGGCCTCATCCAGCCCTTTCAGACGAGTGGGAAGGTGGCCAGCCAAATATTCATTTTGAACTCGTTCCTGCATCAGCGAAAGCGCCTGGAGACGGCCAAAATGACATATTAGCAAGGAATGAGGGAAATGAAGAGAGTGGGGAAAAACCCAAAACAAAAGGGAGAAAAAGATTTCAACATAGACAAGAAGTGGCTTCAACTGCAGGAATTTGATCAGTTAAATGATTAAGGGAAGAGAAATATGGATACAGTTTGATATGGTGGACACGCAATTTCACTGATGAGAGCTACTGCAGATGTTACTTCAGACAGCCCCACATCTAACAATTCCATCAGCTCGAATTCAGTCAAAGACAAGGCATCCTGTACGTATCCCAAACACCAAACACATGGTATGCCCCTCAGATGAAATCATTAAATTCATTAAAATTTCTCAAAAGTCATAAATTCCAGATGTTACAAACTTCATACAACACTCTGTATGAACCAATAATGAACATGAATTGAATTTCCCCTGGATCCAAAGGATTAGCTGGAATGAGCACAGAAATGAAAATATCAAGTCCCTAGTGGAGCAGAAGATGGAGAGGACGTCGTTTGGTTAAACCAAACCAAAAATTCAACTCCGAAAGAGGAAAGAAATTCCAAATAGCGAGGGACCTTACCTTGGCAGTTAAGATGTTACGAGCTGCAAGGATGTTACCAATTGATTTGGGAAGACCCATTTGGCTGATCAGCTTGTTCGCCATCTCTCTCTCTCTCTCCTTTCTCGCTCGATCCAAATATTAGAGTTCGGCTTCAGTCCATTCATTGCATCCCCACAGCCCACAGTATTATTATGCTCCCCTGAAACACATGGGGAACATCTCGCCATGAAAAACAAGGGAGATGTTCCGAATGCACGGCTAAAATGACTATTGGGACTTTTTTTTTTTTTTGGTTGTTGGGACCTTGTATGATTATGGATAATTAATCAAGACCCGTCTGATGCATTTGGCTTTATTTATAAGCAAAATTAAGGACAAAGCTTATCACATTTTCAATTAAGTGGTGTCCATCTAAGTTTAATTTAAATATTAATTTTTGGGTTATGTCTAGTTTATCTAATTACATTTTAAGTTGTGCTTTAGTGAGAGTGGCCAATTTTTTTATTTTTTAGATAAATTTATATTATTTTTTATATTAATGCTATTTTTTATCTATTTATTTGAAAAAAATACTTTTTTATTAATTTTTATTTGTTTATTATTATTTTTGTACAATTTTAGTTAACATTATAAAAAAGCATCTAAAAACAATTCTATAAACCACTTTTGTATTTTGACCCTTATAATGGCCTCCCCTATAATTAAAACAAAAAAAAGTGTAAATACCTCATTCCCTTGGCTTTTCGGTAACAAAGAAATTGAAGTTACAAAAATAGCCTTATCATTGTAATGCATTATCATACACAATTTAAAGTTTCAACTTTACCCTTCACTAATTTATTTTGCTATAAAACTTTCAAAAAACAATCCTCCTTATTCTTCTTGGGCAAAGTAAGGCAAAAAGGCTGAAGTGAAATAAAATTAATGCATTACATCAACATTTTTTATTTGGATTACAGACAGAAGGAAGGTATTTACACATTTTTTTCAAAACAATAGGGGAGGTTTTTGTTAAGGTCAAAACAATGAGAAGTTTCATAGGATTGCTAGAAAGCCCAATGAGGTTTATATAAATTTCCTCATTTTTAAATGGGATTTGAATTGATTTTAAGATAATTAAAAAATATTTAAAAGTAATATTTTATATTAATTTTTGAAATTAGTAAAGAATAAATTTAATTAATTGTATTAAGTTTAAATTTCTTACAAAATTTAATTAACTATATTAAGTTTTTATTTTTCAATAGAACTTAAGTTGGTTTTAAATTAATAAAAATTAATTACAAAACTAATAATTGTTAGATAGTTTTATATTATTTTTATATAAGATTTAAATTGATATAGGTTTTCAATTTATGTTAATTATTTTATTATATTAATAAAAGTATTTAAATCAATAGCAACAATTAATAATTATTTTATTTTATTTAAGTAAGTTACTAAATTATTTTTTATTATGTTTAATTAACTTTAAATGGAAGTAGATTATTTAATGTAATAATATATCATTGAAAATTTCAATTTCAGTATAATTAATTTTTACTAATAATTAGAATTTAATGTAAATATATATATATATATTATGTTCATGAATTTTGTGAAATTTAATAGAGTAATGGAGATGAGAGAGAATTAGTGGCATTAGTTATTTAGGAAGAGAGTTAATGCCATAATGAGGATACAATATTAAAAGATATATATATATATAGAGAGAGAGAGAGAGAGAGAATTTGAGTTAATAAGGAGTGTTCAAAGTTTTAAAGGTGATTGATCACTTGAATTATTTTGTTTAATTTTAAAATTAAAATATAAAAAAGGAAAAAAGAAAGATAAATGCTTTTTAGAAGAAATTAACTAAAAAAAATACAACTATCCTTGAAAATAAGTCTGAAAGCATGAAGGCGCAAGCTTGGCACATTCCATTTTAATATAGACATAGATTAAATATAGAACTTTCAAAATCCATCCCTTTCATTCATAACCCTTGGCTCCATTCTCTCTAGGGGTGTTTATGGTTCGGTTAATCGAATAGTGGAGCTTTTTTTTAACCAAATTGGTACTACTAGTTTTTGGAAAACTGATAACCAAAACCGGACCAGAGCCAGTCGATTAATCGATTGACCAATTCGGTTCATCAGTTTTTCGATTTTTTTTTTATTTTCACAATATATATTATAAAAATATAATAAAAAATTATATATATATATAATATACATAAAATACGTAGAAATATATGTATACCGATCAATTCGGTTAACCACTGGTTTTCTATAATGGTTAACCTAAATTGAACTAATACCCTCAGGTTTTTAAAAATGTCAAATCAACCGGTCTGATTAACCAAATTTTCAGTTCGATTTCAGTCGGTTCGGTTTTTTGTATTCACCCCTAATTCTCTCATCCATGAAATCCCACACCCAAGACAAATTAATTTGAAAAGAATCAGTGGAAAGTACACGGTTAAAGGTTTGAAAAGAGCCTTTTTATGCTCTAACCCATCACCTACTTTAAATGGCCCTTTTAAAAAAAAAAAAATCAAAATTTCATATAGGTGCCTTATTATCATCTAGAAATTTCTCTAAGAAGGCATATTCACTGGCTATCCCCGAATGATATTATGTGTTCTTTCTGCAAACAAATAAACTGAAAATGCCATCCATCTCTTCTTTCTCTGTCATTTTTCTAGAGTCGTATGGTGTGAAGCTCAAGTTGGCATTTATATTAAACTGTCATTTTTCTACGGGCTTTTCGGTAAAGCATGTATTACACTTTTTTATCTTAATTGGGACGCAAGTAAATATGTAATAAACTAACATTCCAACGAACCTCCTGTATATGTCATGTCATCAAGAGAAGCTATAACTACATGCCCGATGCATTCCAACCCCATTACATTCTCATGCATTGCTTATTATTGATGGCCCCCTATGATATTATCACAACAAGTAATGTAGGATGCGCGCATTCATCATTCAACTTTTTGGGTAATATCTCGAAACCTATCTACTGAATTGAGCAGCTTCACTTGAGTCGGTTATCAAGACTTCTCACTTCTTTTCATGGTAATGGAAGCTGCTTTTTATTTTGCCAAAAAAAAATCTTTTATTTAATCGTTTTAAGTGTATTGGTACAAATTCATACTTCACTTGTCTCGGATATATAAAATCCTTTTTCTTGAGAAAAAATAAAAATAAAAATGGCATTTCTTAGAACTCATTTGGTTCACGAGAACAGGGGTTTGGAATTGAAATCGGATTGGCCATTCCAATTATGAAAATACTATAATTAATAAATACTGTACTTACGCAAATACTATAATTATTGAAAATATGGGTAATTAGTATTGTTAATTAACAATATTAAAATGCTGAAATTATTAAAAATACTATAAACATATACTGTTAAAATACTATATTTACTGTAATTATCAAATATACTGAAAATACTGTTAATTATTAATGAACATATTGTTTACTATTAAAATACTGTTAATTAATGAAAATAGTCAAAATACTGTTATTTATTAAAATACTGCATTTATGAAAATAATGTAATTATTGAAAATATGGGTAATTAGTATTGTTAATTAACAGTATTAAAATGCTGAAATTATTAAAAATACTATAATCGTTAACAATGATTTTTAACCGTTGGTTATTAAAATATTATAATAATTAACAGTATTTAATAAACATTTATTAAAATACTGTTAACTGTATGGATCCTGTTGGCCTACAAATTCTTGTACACTGCTCAAGCGGCGGATCAAACATGGTCATGAAGTCATCACTCAGATTGAGAATACCCAGGATTCCAAGACGTCATATTCCGGCAACTTCTGAAGAATCTAACTTTCTGAAATAATCTATGCAAAAAGCAGCTGATCCCAGGAGGACATCTACATGTTGGTTTTGAGTGAAACAGGTTTAAATCACAGAGGAGAGAGGGAAGAAGGGGGAAAAGAGGGAGAAAGAGATTGAGAGACAAGGAAGAAAGAAGGGAAACATGTCCTTAGCATGCGAAGTAAAAGACATTCCATTTTGCGCGCGGCTTCTGCCACTCCACATGAAACGCGTATAAATGTAAATATAAAGTAGATTCCGTTTTCTGGCACCCATTCCATAGGAATATAAATTGAGTGGAATTCCACATCAATGAATTGAGAGAACATTAAGTAAATAAAAAACGAATTTGAAATTGAAATTAAATAGTCGATTTAAGTTGTTAAAATTGAGCAAAATTGCAATAGTAAATTAAAAACGAGTTTGAACTTGAATAATCAAATACAATGCAATTAAAATTTTTAAATTGAATAATTTTGAACATTGTGGATCCATTTTGTAATATTTACTTACATGCAAATCATTAATATATATAAATTAAATACTTTTTTATTTCAAAAATTTCTTAGAATTCATTTTTGACAGATTTTAGAAAAGTCTAAGACAGCATAAATGGCATTTTTTTCTACCCATGCCAAGTACCCACACCTTTGAAAACAAATACAATGCTCTCTTGTTTCAGACAAGCATATCATATGGAAATTTCGGGGCTTCCCCTCGGCACCGAATGAGCTTGAAATACCACCGTATAAAATACCATTGAAGCGATTCACAATCTAAATTTTACCTATTAAAAAATTGCATTTGATAATGGAAAACTAACTTCATCAACTTCAAATATCTTAATTCAATCTATTCCAATATCTCCACTAAACCCAACAAAACTAAGAAGGAGAGAGGCGAGGTACCAAAACAAAAAATCAAAAATAAGTCTTTATTCCAGCCCTTCCCAAGCTCCCCTACCCTCCTAAAATAAGCTCATGCTGAAGTAATAACGAAGAACAAAAAAAAATGATGTTGAAGTAGATATTGAAAATCCAGACACGAAACAAAAACATAGCAAAGTTCTAATAAAATTACAAAACCAAAAAAAAAAAAATAACGGTTACTGGGTGACACCCAACCATTTCGAAAAGTTTTCAAATTCAGTGTAGTCGCTGTCCGAAATCATGGTCTGGTACCATGCCTTGCCAGCAGCCTTGATTGCAGTGGCTTCCTCCTATCAAATGCAGGGAAAACACAAACTTTACGACGGCACTATCCACAATAATTCATCAAGATAAGTAGGTTTGGCAATATATGTTCTTTGGTCTATCAGTACACTTAAACAGAGTAAAAGCCATACAACAACCGCTTGTGGTAAACAACCAAGTAGTGGAAACTCCAGTTCTAAGAACAATAAATAAATAACTTCAGAATATGCAAAATGAGATACAGAAAGATCATCACTAGAATAACACATCATACTCATGACAATTGGTGTAAAATTAAAATTTCAACAATTTATTAGTAATATTCATGAATCATGACAAATATTTTACATTTGCGGATCGTTTATTGGTTTGAGAACATCTCCTTAAGAGAGATATTCCCAATGTGCAACTGGATGCCATGTGTGCAGAGTTTTTGCTTGCAGGAGATCGTATCTCACATTAAATTATACTGTCCTGAACCCTCGAGGACTTAAAAAACCTGAACGGATAAGCAAGAAAACACTTAAAGGCCTCGTTCATTTTCCAGGTAAATGCAATAACCCACTTGGAACAATTTTCCAAAGGAGCTCAACTTTTGTGTGCTGCTAGGGGCATTTTAGTCCCATAATAGTTTGACCAATTTTCTTCCTCTATGGGTAAGTGACTCTCCCACTTGGGAGAAGGGCAAAACTTAAAGTTTGCTTTATGTGGCCCAACATCTCCCTACAAAAATTTATACAACACATTATACCTCTTCTTCTCGAATACCATAAAATTTTATCTACCCCTTCTACTTTTTCTTTTCAAAAATATGTTGATTTTCTATGCTTTGATATGAAGTTCATACTTGTTCATGAAGATAATTGGTAAATTACTAGTGAAAGTGGGTTGTGGAATAATGGTTGATGAATAACATGGAACCTAGTGAATTTCCTAGGCAACAAGGAACCCCACTATTTATACAACACATTATACCTCTTCTTCTCGAATACCATAAAATTTTATCTACCACTTCTACTTTTTCTTTTAAAAAATATGTTGATTTTCTATGCTTTGATATGAAGTTCATACTTGTTCATGAAGATAATTGGTAATTTACTAGTGAAAGTGGGTTGTGGAATAATGGTTGATGAATAACATGGAACCTAGTGAATTTCCTAGGCAACAAGGAACCCCACTATTGCCTTTGGTGCCTTGAAAACTTGGGGTCTAATATTGACAACGGATGGTTGAGCTATAAAGGGCAATGCAGACATCCTAGGTTATCCTGTGGAAAGAGCCATGAAGAAATTGGGCTCTTGAAAGTGGAGTTACAACTATCTAGGAAGTAGCATTACAATTATTAATTTCCCCTACCCAATGTTCCTATGCTTTTTCCTTGGAAGGTCAAAGGTGAATAAATAAAAGAAACCTAGAGAGGTTAAAAACATCAAGTGGGACATTGTGTATTTCCCCTAGCAAGTGACACATTGAACATGCAACCTCCCCTAGAAAACGATGAGATGAATTCTATTTCTGAAAAGATTCTAATGTTCATCAGGTATGATCCCAGGTAAGGTAATCTAGTTAAATTCTAAGAATATTTATGGTAGGGAAATTCATTGTTGAATGTCCAAAATTGCATTCCCCATCAAATTATAAAAACCATTCATTATCTTCATTTGTCTCTTACCTGGTCACATAATTATGAGGAGATTGTGGGTTTAGGAGAAGTCTTTAAAATTTTGGAATCACAGATTGCGGAACTTCTTGCTTTTAACAAGATAGTATCTTTCTTAATCATAGACGGAATGATGAGTAAAACTTGTGGACACTCTTGGGCAGTTTTCATTTTCTGTTTTCTCCAAATCCGTGAATTAAGAATTGGCACTATCTTTACATGTACGAGTACAATAAAACAACAAGCTACTCTTTACACCTCAACATCTAAAATCAACTATATTAAATTTACAAAAACGATCAGGTTTTTTTGAATCATCAGAATGATGCAATATAATTTTGGGTTTGATAGAACACAACTAACAATAGAGTATTACCACATACAAAGCTAGAAAACCCACATAATTAAAATCAATAATCACTTGTGTAAAAAAATAACTACGAAATCACAAAGTTAAATATTTATTTACAATCTAATGCATTACCAAAGTAGAAATAGATCGGAAGTACCTTGGGTATCTGTTTCCTCTTTTTGTCGAATTTCTCCTTCTTTGCCTTGACGCGCTGGGCCTCGGCCAGAAGAGCCATCCTTCTTGCAGTCTTGGCATATGGGTTGAGTTTCAGAAGGGTGTTGAGGTTCTTCAACGGGTTCTTCTTAAGCGGAACCCTCTTGATCTCCTTCTTGATTGGCCTCACAACGGACTGAACCTCATCAGAGTTAATAATCCTAGACAAATCAGCATTAAACATCTTCGACCTAGGAAGCACATAACCTTTCTTCTTCTCTGATGGTTTTTCGAAGGACCCGTAAACTGAGTCCAACTTCTCAAAAGCAGATTTAGTCCAAATGATGAAGCGGCCGAGATGCCCACCAGGAGCGATCTTGAGCAGGTTAAGCCTCTCGACATTGGCAACTTCGACACCGGGGATGTTGCGGAAAGCCTTCACAATCTTGGAACCCTCGGTGCCATAAACAATGAGAGGACCCTTACGAGAAATGTATCGACGGTTCCTCATCTTACCCTTTCCTGGTCGGATCGCATGGCTATCCTTCGCCTTCTCGGCATCGGGATAAGCACCGACCTGCTCGAGGATCTTGATCGCGGCAGATGTCTTCTCAACGCCCTCCGCGGAGTCACTGACCACGAGAGGAATCTCGGGAACGTTCTCAATACGATGGCCGCGTGCAAGGACAAGTGAGGGCACGGCCGATGCAGCAATGGCAGAGACGACAGCGAATCTCTTCTGGTTGACATTGATCTTCCTGTGCCACCGGCGCCAGATCTTCGTGGGAGCAAACATGCGTCCACCGCGACACATGTTGCCAAAGGCACCCTGACCGGCGCGGTGAGTACCACCACCTGGAACACGGGGGATACGAGATACGGCACGACCAGTACCCCATGACTCAGCAGAGGTCTGATGGCCGGCGCGCCTGCTGACGGCGTAAGGCTGACGGCTGTTTTTTGATACGTTGGCGTGAACGAAGTTCACAATGTCTGGACGGATTGACGCTTTCATGACGTCAGGGAGGGAAACGGTGTTCCCACCGTCGGTCGCCATGTCGCCGTCCAACGGCTGAACCGTGACCAGAGGTCGAGCTGCGGCGACAGCCATTGACGGGGTGATGGATGAACTAGGGTTTAGTGAGAGGGAGAGGAGGTGAAGAACGAGGTGGTTAGAGACTGATACCTAGGGTTTTAATGGAATATATAGTCAGGAAATGGTAATTCAAATTACAAAAATGACCTGAACATATGTTATATTTAAAGCCGGGCCGTCGGATCTCGGATTGGTTACATATGCCTATATGGAAATGTCTAAATTACTAAGGCTGCGTTTGTTTACAAACGTCGAACGGGGTATTTACTTACTCCGATTCGCGTTTGCAAGCGTTTGTTTGTGATACATATATGTATAAAAAATGAGTGCAAAATTCTATTTTTTGACATGAATGTATCCATCGAAGAGTGCATTACTGCATCGATTTTTGTCCGACTGTGTGAGAAAAATAGTCGTTTCGGGTGAGAGGAGATTTGCTGTGCCACTGCCCCCCCTCCCACCGCCTTCTAAAAGTACTTTCTCACCTCCACCTCCGACCAAGGCATGATTGTCGGTGATCGGAAATCAAAATCTTATGTTTTTTTTTTTTTACTTGTGTTTTGCTATTTTCAGGTTTTCATGTCGTTTGGTTGCGAGGTTCCTGTCGATCTAATAAGAGGTTGAAGATCTTCACTTCGATCTACACAAGGTAATGTTAGATCTGTCTTGAGCTTCACAAATCCAGTATTTTGCTTTGACTAATAAAGGTTTTCATCATTTTTTGTTGATTCTTTCTCAAACCTAGCCAAGTTTACACATATTTCGCTCTGTCTTCAACAATCAAGTACATGAACGGTGAAATTCTTCTTCTTTGTTACTCTGCTTCCTAATTAATTGTTTTTTATGTTGTCATTCTTGTTTGATGAAGATATCTTCATGAATATATGATATTTTCATTTGAAGGTATATGTATGATATTTGCCTTTGAATATGTGATCCAGTCTCTGCTACAACTAGTCAAAGACCCCTGTGGGGCCTTTCTTTTTACTTGTTCTAATTTTTGTGACATAAAAGATTACAAAACTAAGTACTAACCATGAACCTGGCAATTAGGATCAGCATCTCCAAACTGATGGCTTCATTTGCTAGACAAGCCAGGGTATTGGGCTCTAATGCCATGCATTCTTTAAGGGATTGAATGCTCAAAATAATGTAATATTAAATTGACTTATACTGAAAATAATGCAATATTTAATTGGTTCATGCAGCTTTACTCATGGTTCCCTATACCCAATTATTTCCAAATTAAATTGAAAAGTTTGGGCCAATGATAAATTAGATATTTGTGATGACAATGCATCAAGTTTTATCTAAGCACATTAGCAACACTGGGTTATTGAGAATTTGTTCAAGTTTTATCTAAACATATTAGCAACACTGGGTTATTGAGAATTTGTTCAAGTTTTATCTAAGCACATTGACAGTACTACAACCCATGAGTTACTATAGGAAGGTAATTGAGAATTTGTTCAATGTTTTGTTTCACTACAATACAAAGAATAGTTTTTTTTCCTCTGCATGTTCTTTGTAGCCTTTGTATAAATCTTTTAATTTGTCTACCAAAATGGCTGCACAAAGCTAACCTGTCCCACCAGCAACATCTAGTCCATTCCATTCCAAGAAATGGATTGAGTTTGGAAACCAACTTGGAAAAAAATTAAGGACTTATGATGCATATCTAGGTCTTCATAAAGGATCTAACCTATCTTTCCACAGTCTATGTAATCCAACACTCATTAAATCATTCATCATATCATAATTTGAAGCAACACTATTGAAAACATTACCAACCAATTTACTCTTTTCTTCTTCCTTTACCTCATTGACAGAGAAACTGATGCATTTTTATAAAGCTATACAGTCTAGCCCCTACCAAATAAGATGCATTTTTTAATACCAGTCCATTGCATCAGAAAAGTCATTTTCTATCTTCATATGATTTTGATGTTTGGATCTAGTGTATGAAGGTGAAATATTAAGGAGGGGGAGGTTTAGAGTGGATTGGTTGTTGATGTAAACATCTTGCTCCACTTGCTGCCAATTTGGCTAGGGGAGGCATGGATAGAGCCAATTCTTGTTGTTTGTTGGAACATTACACAAATATGTCACAACACAAATATGTCCCAAGATATCTATATCTTGAAGATTTTAGGATTGAAGGACCTGAAGTAAGGGTCCACTAGTACCTAGGTAACTATTGGCACATCCGCTTGAATACTGAAAATATAATAGTAGCCATGATAGCAATAACCAAAAAACTCAAATTCTATGATACTTGAATTTGATAGCTTGGAAATGAGCCAAACTAGGCCCAAGACACAATCTGCAATTGTCCTCCTTCTCAGGCCAAGTTGGAAGCAAGACAAAGATTAAACTGAACTCCCCATTTGCCTCTGGTTTCATCTTTGTAAAAATTCCTTACTATTGAAGCTAGTTGTGGTAGATCCAATTTTTTAATAGGGTTATTCTTAGGGGACCTACTCTGCTGTTTGTGATTGTCTTTTTTAACAAGGTTATTCTTAAGGTACAGGCTGAGATCCTACTGATATGGGTCTATCCATATTGCATACATCATACAATTTACAAGTGAAGAATCAACAACAAATTGAAAAATAACTCTACTTCTAGAGGATAGAGGTTGATCATATATGGTTAGACTTCTATAAAAGCATTGACTTATTAGATGTAGTGGATAAGTGTTGCATGACTCAATTTTCCCCTCACATTAAATATTAGATAGAACTAGGGTGAAACCAACCCTAACCTATATAAAGCCAATCTGCACAGGTCCACACCAATTCTAAGGTTTATATCTGATTGGCTTCAGCCAACTCAGTTGGCTACTCTTGGAGTGGCTAATAAGCTTCAACCTGAAATTGCAGTTCATAATTGTTTTGAACGTTATCTGATAATTCTTAATATATATCACAAATTTGGTAGGGTCTCATGAATCCAGCAAGGGGGATACATCATGATGCAAGATTTACAACTTGAATGTGCAAAGTTTACAACTCTAAATAGTGCTTTCATTGTAATAGCACTCTAAACATTGCTTTTTTCCTTTTATAATGACCCATTTCTTTCATAAATATATTGGATAATTCTTATGGGCTCTTTTGACTTGTCAGTCAAGCATGGAGGTAACACATGACACTATGGCCAAGCGTAGGCGGATCAGTGCGGCCATTATTTCCATTATGACATCTTGCAGTGGTTGTCATCGTCAAACAATATATTGAATCTACGAGTCGAAGGGTGCGGGAGGTCAGAAGCCTAGGGAAGGGAGTGTTTCTTAACACTGTATTTAGTAGCGAGTCATCTTGTATATTTCAGATTAAGATGAGAAAGCCATGTTTTGATTCTCTTTGTCATTTACTTGTTATCCATAGTGGACTTCAGCCAATCATTAACATGTTTGTCGAAGAGCAAGTTGCAATGTTTTTGCACACTATAGGGCATAATGAAAGGAATAGTGTCATACGTGTTACCTTCAGGCATTCACAAGAGACCGTAAGTCGGTATTTCCACAAAGTCCTGCATGCTGTACTTAGATTGTACCTTTTGTTAGTTATACAACCTACTGGAGAACAAGTACCACCGGAGATTAGGAATGACTCCCGATTTATGCCATATTTTAAGGTATGTAACAAATTACTACACTTTTTACCTTAACACCTCCCTAAATTGAAATTAACATAATTTAGTTAAATATAGGACTGTATAGGTGCAATTGATGGGACCCATATCCCATGCAAAGTGCCTGTTGAGGAGCAAGGCAAGTTTCGTGGTAGGAAGGGGAAAACAACACAAAATGTAATGGTTGCAGTGACATTCGATTTAAAGTTCACTTATGTATTGGTTGGGTGGGAGGGTTCGGCTACTGGTGCCATAGTCCTATATGATTCATTGCGAAGGGAATGCAAACTCCACGTCCCATAAGGTAAATTAAATTGATACTTTATCCTTTCTAATACTCGAACTGTGGACTCCATTGTCTTAACTAATTGCTTGTTGCCAATGATCACTCAACGAAATATAGGAAAATACTAATTAGTAGATGTCGAATATAGAAACATGCCAGGCTTCCTAGCACCTTATCGAGGCACCAGATACCACCTCAATGAGATACGAAGGTGATTGTCGAAGTCTCCTCGGGAGATTTTCAACCACACACATTCATCGTTGAGAAATGCAGTGTAACATGCTTTCGGTGTTCTAAAGAAGCATTGGGCAATTCTTGATGCAACACAACATTTTGACTTTGACACATAGGTCAAGATTGTGATAGCTTGTTGTGTGCTTCACAACCATATCATGGGAGTTGATCCACATGACCAGTACACCCGATAAGGGATCCATGAGGCAGGCAAAAAAAATACATCCGATGGTGATGAATTTGTGGAAGAAAGCACTGATGCAGATTCTCTTGCACCAAAGCTACAATGAAATGAACTAGCAAGGTGGTCCACATTTAGGGACCAGATTGGGCCATACATGTTTCGGGACTGGATGAGACTGCGAAGATGATTAGGAGTTGTAGTATTTGGATTAATTGCACATCATCATTGTTAGAACCAATTTGTGTCGATTGCAGTTCTTATAATGTTTAAAACATCCAATTTATTTGTTTTATTAGATATCCATGACTTACTTGTTAAACAATTTAACATATCAGCAATATTGTTTAAACACCATATTTTTGTATTGCGCATGCTTACTTTTATGTTGTTGATTAATAGAGGTATTTTCAATATTTCTTTATGATAATGTATGTACATGTCTATGTGTTATTTATTTACTGCATGAAATGGAATACTATTGGCTAGGGATGGTCTCTAGTAGAGATACAACAGAAACATCTATCAATAATAGGAAAGATGGCAATAAGGGAAATGATGTGTTGTCTGTCTCACAAACTATGTCCAGCAAGGGTGATCGAAGTCGACAAGTAAGATGGAGTGATGCCATGGACAAGGCATTGATTGAGCTACTTGTTGACCAAGTAGCATTAGGCAATAAGATTGATAAGGGGTTTCAGACATCTGCATACACATCAGTATGCAAGGAGATGACTACCTGCTTCAATATTAATATG